ATAGACCCTAGAGGCGCCTCTCTCTCTCTCTCTCATATATATATATATATATTTATTTATATATATATATATATATATATACGCACATAAACTATGCCAATGAAGATCCCCAAACACCAGGACCGCCAAGACAGCCACACCAGGACGCATCTGGAAACCACGAGGAGACCAGGCTCAAAGTGACTTCCCCAAATACTGCTAAGTCTACCGAAGTACGGGCAAGATTCCTAAGATTTCTCCCAGTGCAAGTGCGATTTCGGACGGCCAAGATGCTTCCCACAAGTACTGCGGGGAGTCAGAGTTGGAATGTAAAATGGATCCACTTTCCGAAGCCGTGTGAGCCACAGCGTTTGGGGAATGTAGACCTTTGTGATTATCTGTGTCGCTACATGTGCTTGTACATTCGCGCACATACATACATAGGTGCGAGTACAGACATTACATAGACACAACAGGCACGCAGACATGCATGCATGATCATGCATGCGAAGGTACAGCACGCAAAAATGCTAGGACCCCGGCTGTCCATCAGCTCTTCTCCAGCATCCACTGGTCTCGCGGCACGAAGCACCAGCCTTGCGGGAGCCTGAGAATGAAGCACGCGCCGTACTCCGACTCTCTCTCCTGCGCTCCAAACCCCACGTAATTAAGGCCCAGGTAGACGTAGCTGGCCTCGAGCCCAAGTTTTGCGAAATCCTCCGAAATCGAAAAACCGACCTCTTCCAACTGTAGGCCCCAAATCTCCTGCCCTCACAAAGCGAGGCCTGTTCAGCATCCTCTGCGGCTCGGAACGTCCGCCTCACCGCCCAAAAGCTGCACCGGCCCCGGCCCCAGTATCAGGGGCTTAGTCATGGGAATAGGGGTGCGGGCTCCCAAACCCCAAACCCGTTAAAGCCTCAATAATTGCCGGCCTTTCCATTCGTGAAAAATCTTGAACCCTTGAGAGCACTGAGTGACGCTGGCGACTTGGCTGAAATGGGCCATGGGGGCTTTCGGGGTTTTGGGTCTAGGGGCGAGGGGTGGCGGATAGGGGCTTTAGGGCTTGGATGATTATGCGGTAGAATCTTCCCGATGCATTAAAGCCCAAGCTTTAAGTCAAACAATACGGTAAAAAACAAGACCTTTGACCCTAAGCTTCTTCTCTTGGCATCTCAGAGGCCGAGGCCAACAGCTTTTTGAGAAGAGAACTCACGGGAAACCCCAAACGCTTCAAAACAACATAGCAAAGCCGTGAGGTCGTAAGGCTCTCATAAACGACTAGCATTTCTGTTGAAGGCAAGCCACTGGACGTTCGGCTCACAGCTATGGTTCACCTTGCATGTCAAACGCAAACATCACGCAAAGAGAAACAGACTGAGACTATGGGGTATGGATTCCAAGACTTGAAATCCAGAGTTTTGCTGTCAAACCAGGTTCAGTCGATGCTCTAACCGACGATCACCGACTAGCACAAACCCGAAAAACTAAAGATTCTAAAGTGCCAATCCTCAGTGGACCTTAGCAAACCCCAAGACCTAAGTCCTGTTCACAGAGTTGGAAGACCTAAGCCTGTACCTATCAAATGCGCAGAAAAGTATCTTCTTGTGAAGCACAAAGAACCAGTCCGTGGATGTGGAACGGCTCTGACACCTTAGCTGAACAGGGTGCGTAGTGTCTGTCTAAAGCTTAGGATTTAAAGCATGGAGGCAACGAGCGGATAGAGAGAGAGTCTAAGCTTCAGCTTGTTAATCGTTTTCGTTGGGGCGGGGGGTTCTGATCACTTATAGTTTAGGGTTTTGGGATCTGGGCCTGGCGTCTATCTCATCACGTCTTCGGCCATTTGCTGGGTCTACGGCTCCCATCCAAAGTGCTCCGAAAGTCCTGATAATCGGAATTGCTTCTTTGAGAGTAACCAAACTGGACTTGGGGTTTTGGGCCAGAGGCATCAGGGTATGTCGGATAGCATGGAACCCTCGATGATTAGACGCGTAGCTCCGTGGAGCGAAGTAAGTGTGCATTTCAAGAGTTCAAGAGCCGGAGAACGGGTGCTCGAGTGATCTTGGCCAAGGCGAAGAACAACCTCAGAGATTGGGTCACTTTGTGCGAAGCCTAAGCCCTACGGCCCTTACATGTCGGCTCGGTGCTTCTCTGGCAAAACACCATCTGCACTGTGATACATGGAATAGTCAGAGGCGAGCTCAGAGGACGACAGCTCCACCTGCCCGAACTGTGGGATTTAGGCTTCAAACTTAGGGAGTGAGTAAGGCCGGAAGGACGAAAGAAGGGCATGAATGTGCATAACAGGTTGCAGTGTATGTGTGCAAATATGAACATGTATATATGTATGCATGCATGCATGCGTGCATGCATGTCGATGTATGCATGTATGCATGCAGGTACATGCATACATACACGCATGCATACATACATACATACATACATACATACATACATACATACATACATATTTCGACATAGTCATATATGTATCTACCTCTCTCTCTACATATGTAGACACGCATTCACGCATTCGCCCTCTCATGAACCTCACGGTTGTCTGGTTTCGAGTCATGCTAGTTTTCAGCACATATCACAGATAGTAAGTGCGAAGCAAAAAGAAATCGCGTCTCGTGGAGGTCAGCCGAAGAACGCCTCGTGATACAACGGGACCAGAAGGCCGAAGCTGCAGGCCGGAACTGCAGAGGATTGCCGTGCCATGATGCCATGCTTTTGGTAGCCGGGCCCTCCCCCGTACCTCTCCCGACCGGCCAGGCACGCGCAAGCGCCGGGGAGCGCTCACGGAGCGCCACTGCCTTCACGCTTCGAGGGATTGCCATCGAAAAGTACCACAAGAACTGCTAGGGTCTAGGACCTTGGGACATAAGAGGTCTGGGGATCTTCGCGAGTGGAAGACTGGGGCTTCGAGTTGAGACTAGAACTCTGTATCAAGCCAACTTGACAACGTTCGGAGTTGAAAGGTCTTGAACCCTACACCCTCTACAACAAAATCCCTGCAGCTGCTACCTTTGAATCCTGAAGCTTCAATCCCAAACAACACCCACGGCTGTGTGGCGATGCCTCGGATCACTCAAGAGTGCGCCCAGTGCCTCCTGTCACTGGCCACTACAAGCCAGAGCTTTGAGATTCCTTTGTCGACCCGGTTATTTTGGACTTGGGGCTTACAAGGTTTCGAGTGCAAGAGTCGTAGTAGGGAGAAGCAGGAGGATTGTCGCAAGCTAATGACTAGGGACTCTTACACCCTTGCCTTGAACTTCGGGAGGAAAAGGAACAGCATAAGCCATAAGCCCAGAAAGCTTCGAACAAATCAAGCGGGCTGAAGTGTTACAAAGAGCTTCTCTTGAACGTTGGAAAACAGCCATTGGTGCAAAGCATCAGGCTCACCACTGTGGCACTTGACAATGCAGCCTCGCAGGTGCAAAGGGCCAGGCGAGGGCGAAGGCTAGTGCCAATCGATGTCTGTCGGCAGGTAACCCAAGGGTGCCACACATGCGCAGCAACACCCTTAAATCCTAAGACCCCCCCCCCAACACACGGAAACCCGTCGCCAGTCCTTAAGGCGATCGGGGACACTTGGCAGGTTCACTCCGTCCAATGCCTAGGTGTTGGGGCTTCAGATTTAGAGCTGTTGAGGGCTTTTGGTGGGAGGGGGATGGGCGGAGGATGATTTTCTAGGGCTCCAAGTCAGGATTCCCTTCTGCGAGGCAGATAACACCGAGCAGCTCAAGCTTGGCGTAGGGACTTGCGGGCTCCGGGGGCTTAACTAAGGAGGGGTTTGGGGTTTTGGGCTTTGGGGTTTAAGTGCTTTAAGGCTCCGGGCTTTAAAGGTCTGATCTGTAGTACAAGGCCGTTCTGGATCGGGCTTCTTCTTGCTGCTGCCAAGGAGCTGATTCCATCGATGTGGCCTTGGTGCTTAGGGCATAGACTTGCTGAGTGACCTGGACTGGACACTAACCTATACTTTTCAATCCCAAACCTAGCTGCGCAATAAAGGTTTTCATGGGGGGAGATTCAATGATGCGGCAGGAGTTCTCCCATGCGGCCTTGCCTAACAGCTGTGCTGCACATCATATAGGCGGCAATTTCGTTCGACTAGGAACATCGAGCAAAATTGAAAGGTCCTGCATCTTGCACCCAGCTGAAGACACACTCCTAATGTTCTGTGCAACTTCAGTGCACGGTACCGGCAAATACCACCAGCATCGCAGCCAGTGCGGGGAAACTCGCCAACTAGAGTGCTGGATGTCGCCATCTACAGCATGGGCAGAACTTGCTCACCTTTCTGTCTGTGCTTCGAGGTGCAGGGAAACTGGCACCAACAAGCTGCATTCGAGAGCATACAGTAGTAAGAGCGATAGGCATTGATATAACAAGAAACGTCGACATACAACAGCTCGAGATCAAGGCCGGACTTCACAGCGCTCAGTCTTGCCTCAACGCCCGGAGCCTAAACCCAAGAACCTCAAGACTTCAACACGCTAATCCCGCATCTCACCTGAATCCCGGACCCCAGATTGGAGACTTGTGCCAGCAAGCAGCCTGCACGAGGTTGTAGACAGGTCCATGACCGCCTGGGGCAGTCACATCGAGGTGGCGCAGCTGGGTCGGTGTGCTCCTGGCGCACGGACATGACTAAAAAGGCTGGGGAGGTCGCTCCTTGGCTGTATGTGGTGTGTGTGTGTGATCATTAATGGGAGATGCGGATTCTGCTTGGATTGTGTTTGACATGTGCGAACTTTTCCGTAGTGCAGCGCTTCGAACCAAAATCATTAAACGACAGGCCCGGTACAAATGAACACCAGACTCTTGTCCGTGAGATTCGTGTGGCGGATGAAAGAATCTTAGAGGTTCTGTTGGTCCCTGTGGTCACGAGCCTGCCGGCTGGAACCACCAGAAGCAGGGTGCCAACCTGTCCAAAAGCTGAATGCCAGTGAATGCTGCACAGAAACCGAGGCCTGCTATTTGGGATGGCCCACGTGTGCGCGCTAGAAGGCAAAAGAGCTCTGACCTGGAGTACACTCCCGGTTCCAAGGCGGAGCAACAATCTTTGATTGAATGGCCGAGTACTTCGAGCAGTGTGTGTGTGTGTGTGTCAACGGGCCACGACATGGGCTCGAGCCCTTAAAGCTCACCTAAACCCCTTTAACCCCAATGTAGACCCGAAGCCCCAAAGCCGTCATGGTCGCCTCAGCAGCAGAAGTCAGGAAGAGACCCAGACCTGCTGCACCTGAGCTTACGTTCAAAGGCTTACTCGGAGGTTTGGGGTTCGCGTAGCTGGGCTTCAAAGTTTTTCGGGGTTTAGGGCTTTGGATGTGGGGGTTGAGGGTCAGGTTTAGGGTGGAGGCGTCCATGTCCCAAAGCAGGTGTCAACATGGATGTTTTGGGGCTGCTTGGCGTTTTGGGGAAGGCTAAATGCCGAAGGAATCGCAGAGGTCTTGGGATACTGCGTGCCGTGGATCCCCTCCTTGTAGCACAACTTTATGAAAGCCTCCCCTAAACCCAACCTTTCAAACCTCCCGAAGAAGTCTCAGT